CAGAGAAACTTTGTCATTTCCAGGCAAAGTTTTAGAATATTTCAGCCTGATTGAAGAATTACTGCTGGATCGAGAAACTTTGTCATTACAAGACTTAGTTTACATTATTCCAGCCTGATTGAGAAGGAGTGCCAGAAACTTGTATTTTCAGTTGATACAATTCCAGCCTGTTCGAAGGACTCTGCTGGATTGAGGAATATTCCAGCCTGACTGAAGAAATACTGCTAGACTGAGGAACTTTGCTATTTCCAGACAAAGTTCATAATATTCCAGCCTGATTGAGGAACTTTGCTGGATTGAGAAACTCTGTCATTTCCCGACATAGTTTATACAATATTCCAGCCTGACTGAAGTAATACTGCTGAACTGAGGAACTTTGCCATTCCCAGACAAAGTTCATACTATTCCAGCCTGATTGAGGAACTTTGCTGGATTGAGAAACTCTGTCACTTCCCGACATAGTTTATACAATATTCCAGCCTGACTGAAGAAATACAGCTGGACTGAGAAACTCTGTCACTTCCCGACATAGTTGATACAACTCCAGCCTGTTTGAAGGACTCTGCTGGATTGAGGAATATTCCAGCCTGATTGAGGAAATACAGCTGGACTGAGAAACTCTGTCATTTCCCGACATTGTTTATATAACTCAAGCCTGATTGAGAATAAGTACCAGAAACTTAGCTCATTTGGAGGTGCTGTTGAGGAACTTGGAATATTTTCACTCAACCTGGATGACTTAATGGAAACTAAGTACGAGACACTTAGTTTATTTAGGAACTACTTGGAATCTTAGGCAGATTCCACATATTGAGGAACTTAGAGGATCTTCATCGATTTAGGAGCTACTGGGAATCTTAGGCAGATTCCACATATTGAGGAACTTAAAGGATCTTCATCGATTTAGGAACTACAGGGAATCTTAGGCAGATTCCACATATTGAGGAACTTAAAGGATCTTCATCGATTTAGGAGCTACTGGGAATCTTAGGCAGATTCCACATATTGAGGAACTTAGAGGATCTTCATCGATTTAGGAGCTACTGGGAATCTTAGGCAGATTCCACATATTGAGGAACTTAAAGGATCTTCATCGATTTAGGAGCTACTGGGAATCTTAGGTAGATTCCACATATTGAGGAACTTAAAGGATCTTCATCGATTTAGGAGCTACTGGGAATCTTAGGCAGATTCCACATATTGAGGAACTTAAAGGATCTTCATCGATTTAGGAGCTACTGGGAATCTTAGGCAGATTCCACATATTGAGGAACTTAGAGGATCTTCATCGATTTAGGAGCTGATTCCACATATTGAGGAACTTAAAGGATCTTCATCGATTTAGGAACTACTGGGAATCTTAGACAGATTCCACATATTGAGGAACTTAGAGGATCTTCATCGATGTTGCCTGTTGGGGACGTTGAATAGTGTCACCCCTGACCTGGATGACTTTGATGGAAACTAAGTACGAGACACTTAGTTTATTTGGGAGCTACCAGGGATCTTAGGTAGATTCCACTTGTTGAGGAACTAAGTACGAGACACTTAGTTTATTTAGGAGCTACTGGGAATCTTAGGCAGATTCCACATATTGAAGAACTTAAAGGATCTTCATCGATTTAGGAGCTACTGGGAATCTTAGGCAGATTCCACATATTGAGGAACTTAAAGGATCTTCATCGATTTAGGAGCTACTGGGAATCTTAGGCAGATTCCACATATTGAGGAACTTAAAGGATCTTCATCGATTTAGGAGCTACTGGGAATCTTAGGCAGATTCCACATATTGAGGAACTTAGAGGATCTTCATCGATGTTGCCTGTTGGGGACGTTGAATAGTGTCACCCCCGACCTGGATGACTTTGATGGAAACTAAGTACGAGACACTTAGTTTATTTGGGAACTACTGGGAATCTTGGGTAGATTCCACATATTGAGGAACTTAGAGGATCTTCATCGATTTAGGAGCTAGTGGGAATCTTAGGCAGATTCCACATATTGAGGAACTTAGAGGATCTTCATCGATTTAGGAACTACTGGGAATCTTAGGCAGATTCCACATATTGAGGAACTTAGAGGATCTTCATCGATTTAGGAGCTAGTGGGAATCTTAGGCAGATTCCACATATTGAGGAACTTAGAGGATCTTCATCGATTTAGGAGCTACTGGGAATCTTAGGCAGATTCCACATATTGAGGAACTTAAAGGATCTTCATCGATTTAGGAGCTACTGGGAATCTTAGGCAGATTCCACATATTGAGGAACTTAAAGGATCTTCATCGATTTAGAAGCTACTGGGAATCTTAGGCAGATTTCACATATTGAGGAACTTAAAGGATCTTCATCGATTTAGAAGCTACTGGGAATCTTAGGCAGATTCCACATATTGAGGAACTTAAAGGATCTTCATCGATTTAGAAGCTACTGGGAATCTTAGGCAGGTTCCACATATTGAAGAACTTCGAGGATCTTCATCGGTTTAGGAGCTACTGGGAATCTTAGGCAGATTCCACATATTGAGGAACTTAGAGGATCTTCATCGATTTAGGAGCTACTGGGAATCTTAGGCAGATTCCACATATTGAAGAACTTAGAGGATCTTCATCGATTTGGGAGCTACCAGGGATCTTAGGCAGATTCCACATATTGAAGAACTTAGAGGATCTTCATCGATTTAGGAGCTACTGGGAATCTTAGGCAGATTCCACATATTGAAGAACTTAGAGGATCTTCATCGATTTGGGAGCTACCAGGGATCTTAGGCAGATTCCACATATTGAAGAACTTAGAGGATCTTCATCGATTTAGGAGCTACTGGGAATCTTAGGCAGATTCCACATATTGAAGAACTTAGAGGATCTTCATCGATTTAGGAGCTACTGGGAATCTTAGGCAGATTCCACATATTGAAGAACTTAGAGGATCTTCATCGATTTAGGAGCTACTGGGAATCTTAGGCAGATTCCACATATTGAAGAACTTAGAGGATCTTCATCGATTTAGGAGCTACTGGGAATCTTAGGCAGATTCCACATATTGAAGAACTTAGAGGATCTTCATCGATTTAGGAGCTACTGGGAATCTTAGGCAGATTCCACATATTGAAGAACTTAGAGGATCTTCATCGATTTGGGAGCTACCAGGGATCTTCGGCAGATTCCACATATTGAAGAACTTAGAGGATCTTCATCGATTTAGGAGCTACTGGGAATCTTAGGCAGATTCCACATATTGAAGAACTTAGAGGATCTTCATCGATTTAGGAGCTACTGGGAATCTTAGGCAGATTCCACATATTGAGGAACTTAGAGGATCTTCATCGATTTAGGAGCTACTGGGAATCTTAGGCAGATTCCACATATTGAGGAACTTAAAGGATCTTCATCGATTTAGGAGCTACTGGGAATCTTAGGCAGATTCCACATATTGAGGAACTTAAAGGATCTTCATCGATTTAGGAGCTACTGGGAATCTTAGGCAGATTCCACATATTGAAGAACTTAGAGGATCTTCATCGATTTAGGAGCTACTGGGAATCTTAGGCAGATTCCACATATTGAAGAACTTAGAGGATCTTCATCGATTTAGGAGCTACTGGGAATCTTAGGCAGATTCCACATATTGAGGAACTTAGAGGATCTTCATCGATTTAGGAGCTACTGGGAATCTTAGGCAGATTCCACATATTGAGGAACTTAGAGGATCTTCATCGATGTTGCCTGTTGGGGACGTTGAATAGTGTCACCCCCGACCTGGATGACTTTGATGGAAACTAAGTACGAGACACTTAGTTTATTTGGGAACTACTGGGAATCTTGGGTAGATTCCACATATTGAGGAACTTTGCCATTTCCAGACTTAGTTTAGATAACTCCAGCCTGATTGAGGAACTAAGTTGATTCCAGACTTAGTTATTTTATTTCAGGCCAGCTTGATATTTGCCTTCATTGAGAGACTGTTATTCCAAGGCATAATCACTGAAGCTGTAATGAGAGACTGTTATTCCCAGATTTATACCTAGCTGAATTGAACAAGTCCAGAGCTCAAGAGACAATTGAGAGTACAAGTATTTTCGTATAGAGGACTCTAATACCAGTGCTTCAAAAACTATCATCGCATATAAAGGACTTTAACCTTAGTGCCGTAGTAACTGAAGTAAAGCAAATACATCGATTTTCATGTATTATTTTGACGGGCTAAAACGCCACAATATACGTGTTATTGTATTTAATTGTATATAAGTTGTTATGTACAGATTTCCCACGTGTATATTTAACGTATACCCTGAGACCCACAGTGACACAGTCTATTAAACAACATCCACACTACCATAATTAGGCTGAATGTTACACTATGATAAATAAACATATTGTACCTACAGGGTATTACTTAAAGGAACATTCCTTGCCAGACTATTTCTCGCCTGATATGGTAGCTACAATCATATATATACTTTACATATTTAGCAAAACACGGGAAAATGTTTTCATATGGTCAATATTGATCATTTAAAAATGTAGTACTCATTCCCAGTAAGCTGCCATCTTTTCAGATTTCTTTCAGGAAGTGATATCATCGACTCTCACCTGTTATAACCTTGTCTATTACAGTATAGGAAAGAAGTACAAAATCACTTCTAAACAAGAAGCCCTTATCTTCTGTGTAAAAATATTTTCAGGAGTTGTCAACTTAGAACTAAAAAAGAGATCATCAAAAGGATTTTTAATCATAGACCAAATTGAAAAAAATATTCAGCTGGTTTAGTAATTCTGATAGCTCCTTACATAATGTTATATGCAAAGTTGCGAGTCGATGACATCACTTCCTGAGTGAAATTTTAAAAGATGGCAGCCTACTGGAATTGAGCACTGCATTTTTAAGTGATCAATATTGACCATTTCAAAACATGTTTCTGTTTTTTGATAAACTTGCAAAGTATGTATATGGTTATAGCTACCATATTAGGAGAGAGATGGTCTTGCAAGGAATACCCCTTTAAGCTTAAGTTGCTGGACCTTTAACTCCTAAAATATATGATAACCATAAAATCATAAACAATTGATTTGAATATTCGTAATTGTCTAGTTAGAAAATTTGTCGGTTTTAAAAATTATGCACTGCTGACTAGCCTCACTTCTCAAAATACAAAGTGAACAATTTCTCAGGATTTCATATTTACATAAAATAAAGTTTGAATTACAGTTCATCAGAAGTGAAGCTTACAGGTTGTTCCCCTTTAATAGCATTATATCTTCCCTTTTTAACACAAGTCCATCCAATCCTCTTGATATTTATAGAAATTAAAGTATTTATCCAAATTCTTCAATAGTCTAAAAAGTACAGGTTGTTACTACTTATAGGGTGAGCCCCTTTAATGAAACTATATTGTCCCTTTATGACACATGTTCATTATCCAATCCTCCGGTAAGAAGGACTCCAATTTCATTGAATCTATGTAATTTCTGATATTGGGAGACACATTCATGCCCCAGAATTCAAACAATGGTATCACATTACGCTTGGTGATTTGGCACCAGATTTCAATCCACTTCTCCTCCTTCTCTGCAGTTGTAGATTTTCTAGCACTTGGGGTCTTCTCAAAATGCCCAAAGACTTCTCTGTATTTTTCCCAACCAAAGCTATTAGCCAGTTGAACAAATGGGATAAGATGAACGAAAAATTGATGATTGAGAGATGCATTTGTGGCGCCACCTTTCAAGTGATTAAGGATGTTACGTTTGTTGCCATTGTTGGTCAATTGGTCATGCATCAGTGGGGGTATGTCAGCCATCTTGTGCATAGCGTGCACTGAGAATATATTACATGTTACTTCTGTTACAACAGGATAAGTCCACCAATCACGTTGCATGTTGTGACCCAGCTCATGGTACGGCCCCCAGAATCGACCTTCTTTATGAGCCTGAGGATTCAACAAAAATGTAGAATTTGCCGGAATCGCTGACATCCATATGCATCATTATAGGATACCCAGAATGCATGTAACCTGCTGCAATCTGGACATCCGTGACAAATCTTTCTCGTCTTTGTGATGTTGCATCCGTGCTACGAAGCTCATGGTGCAGCTGAACGACCTTGTCCCACATCTGAATGACCTCTGTTGGGTCATCAATTTCACCAACAGCAGCTGCAGGGAGGGTGATTATGATGTTTCTCCCTGCAATCTCCGCCCAGAGACCTGGGGCATATCGTTGTACTCTCCATGCATCAAGGCCCCGAGAAGGGTTGGTCAAATCAAAGTATGGAGCAGGGATCACATTGTGGATACAGACAGACAATAAAGATGGCGCTTTAGTATTCCTGAAGTAGACCAGTCCACCATATGGTGATACAAAACTCAAATGAGTCTGAAGCTGCTTTGAAGTTACAATTCTGGGCCAACGCTTCAATGAATCCAATCTACTTAGATCATCACTATGGCAACCTATTTGAATCATCCAATCATCAGGCTCCCCTTGGTTCACACTGATGTAGATAACTTTGCCTGCTGGGAGGTAGTATCCTGTGCTATGCCACTCTTCAAATTTGGATTTGAATATCAATTCGATGGGCAGTTGAATCAAGGGAGGTGTGACATCAAAGTCACCTGGGAAATTATCAATCCCAGGAGCTTTAATACCTTCTGCAAGATCTCTCTGGTTATAGAATAGATCTTGCATGGTAAACTCAAGCTGATTTTTCTCGAATGACAGTGGATCTTTTTCAGATGGATAGACAGAACCAACGGGGTAAAGTTCCATGAAGGCTTTAACATGTGGCTTCAAAGTTTCATACACACCAGGTGTAAGATGAGAGACGTAGCAAATAGTACCCAACGCTTTGGATATATCTTGTGGCGGATTGCGTAGAATTTCACCAAGATTTCCAGTTTCCGGTTTGTTATCTTGAGTATAGAGATAGCCATTGACTGTGTTGACAAACTCCTCAGTAAAACATACCCCAACTTTCGCGAGCAATCCAGATATTTGCATTTCCTCGATTGGTTTGTTCGAGTTCAGCTGTTGCCAGCCCCAAGGGGTTACTCCACATATAAGTCCTAGCCCCTTGTTATATATCAACTCGCTTAGATCATCCAGAAACTGTTGTGATTTGTCTTCACATGTTTTAGCCATGACAACCTGGCAGTCATAAATTTCATCAATGGTTTTGACATCATCAATAAACAGAGGTGTCTTGTCGCATTCTCTGTTTGAAACCCAAGCTTTGATATTCTCGAACAGTTCCATGTACTTCTTACTACCTTTCTTGAATTCAAGAATGAAAAGGTCATGTCCAAGAACCACAACTTTACCCTTTCCATACTGGGCAGCGGCAATGACGACTTGTCCATGCTTGGTGGATGTTAACACTGGTGCCGCAGTTTCACCATAGACTACAATAGAGCCTGGGATTCCATCCCCAAAGTTAATTGATTCAATCTTAGACAGGATTGAATCAACGGCTGATTTTGCTCTCCACATATTCATTTTGTCCATACTACTTTGTGATATGTCCTAACAGCAAACTTTATTTAACCTACATTTAAAAAGTTTTCAAATAACATTTATGTCCAATTTTTTAAGTATTTTTAAGGGTAAACTCAGTTTTTATTTGCAATAAATCGAGATGCTCTTAAATACACTGCTCAGATTTTTTGTTTAATTCAAAACAAAATATTTTTAGGCTATTTCAAATGTTCATGTGATGATGTCATTAGTACGTGCATAACTGTTCGTGTTAGTTCAATCTGATACATTTCCCAATTCATGTAGAATCTTTGTTCGAACTTTGTTCCTCTTTTAAAAGTTGTTCCTCAAACTTTTTTGTAAGGGCTTCCATGTCCTGCAAGTACAACACAAAAAATATACTGTAAATACACTTAATTTGGCACCTGTTTTAATTTACCAGAGTGAAAAAGTCCACCAAGCTAATTTTCAGATATATTTTGGAAAATCCCTCGGGAATTTGTAATATGCAATTAACGGGGAAGTATTGTGCAGTGTACTTTCGCCTGTGCGGCTTCCTGTAAAAAGATGGTATGAATTTCTGGCAAAAATGTCAATATTTTATGCTCCTTTGAGCATGCAACAGAAAATATTTGAATACCAACACATTCCCCTGACTCTAAAATAGGTAGATTACAAGATTTAACTGTTGTACTGTAGTTCACATGAATCTGAAATGCCTATTTCCAGATCAATGATAAAACTTAAAGGAACATTCTTTACCAGACCATTTCTCTCTCTAATATGGTAGCTATTAAAATAAAAGTACCTTTAAACATAGATTCATGTAAATCTTGAAAGAACATTAGTAAATCTAATAAAACATTGATGAAGATTACAGTACATTGATTTTTATAAGCATGAGCATGGGCTTTCTACTAGAAGGGTAGGCAACTTCCCATATTTCATACATAAGCATTGCCTTTGGGTTTTCAAAATTGGAGAATGTACACATTCCAAGAAAATCTTATTTTATCCTTTTTATGGATGATTTAAAGAAATAACTCACAAATAAAAACATGATTATCTACATACATGTTGATAATTTAATAAAAAACGGAATTCATCATAATTATGACAATACAGAAAGTGAACATTCTCCCACAAATCACAAATTATGGTGTTATTGGAATGTGTTCTTGAATAATTACCCACAATGCAATACTCGAAGAGAACATCTTGATAGCTCTTATTCTTATTGGTCTTTTTTGTTTACTCTTACATGAGATTGAATATATTTTATGCTTTAATCATATTGAAAATTGATTTTTATTCAAAATAATACTAAAACATATACACATTTATCTAATACATTTTGAAATTTTACAATAAAAAGAGAAGCATGGCATTGCTCATTTTGAAGGTCTCGCATGTTTATTACGCAGAGTTGCTTACCCTTCTTAATTGAAAGCCCATGATTTTTATAAGCGTGAGTCAGCAGTCATGCTAAGTCATGTCAAATATGAGCCTCAAATAATTGTGTTGCTTCCTGGAGTATCAAAAATCTGTCCTAACAGATAAAGCAGACATAATCACAATATTCAGAGGAAACTCTAAAACAATATTAGGACATTTCTGTGTAAATTCATCACTCTGGTAATATATTAATAATAACTTAAGTTCATTTACTTCAGAGTAAAATGTTTTATTTTCGATGTTTCGTTAATCATCCAACTAGCTTTATCAAGATTACATTCAAAATGGAAGTACACAATTATATTATTTATGACGTAATAATTGAACAATGCAATACCCAGGTAACAATAAACAATACAATAATAAGCAATGAAAATAAACTATGACAATATTTATGTCAATTTCATTATTGTCCAAAAAGGAGAGATACTTTTTGCAAAAGCGGCAGCATTCATACATTGAACATTCACCATCATTTTTTCTGGGTTTTGACATTTTTTCTGGGCTGCAAAATTTTCGTCATTTTTACAGGTTGCTCAATTTTATCCCAGGCTGTCAAAAATAATTTTCGTTGATTTTTTGATAATTATTTTCAGGTTTAGAACTTTTTATCCAGGTTAGGGGGTAAAATTACTTCAGTCACTATGTTATTATAACATTTTCATTTAAAGGCCCACTTTGGGAATTATCAACATTGGGTGGGCCCAGAAAAAAAAATTGGGCCCAAAACAAATTTTGTGCCAAAAAAGGCCTTCAGGCCCCAAAAAGTGGGCCTTTTTGGTCATTACTGGGCCTCATTAAGACCTTATTTTTTAATTTCAGGCCAAATTTTGAAGAAAATGGGTGTTCACTTTGGCCCACTTTTGGATTTTAGGAACCCCAGAAGTTTTTTTATTTTCCCCCCTTATTGGTTCCCAGATCCGCCCCTGATGTGGATGGAGTGCTTTGTGAAATTTATAAAGATGGAGCAATCAAGCAAATGTAAGCTTTTTGAGAAATCTAAATGAGTATCAAATGCTATTTATAATCTATGCATGGAAATCACCTTTCATCGAAAGCACATGGGGCTTAATGAATAGAAAATGAATAGAAACATTAATAACTTAAGCATTACTTTTATGTATACATCCTCAGGGCCTTATTATGAGAATAAAGGTCAAGGAAAGCACTCATCTCATACGAAAGCCAATGGAAACAGTCAAACTTGTTTGGTTTACAAGTGTTCACATTTTAAGGTTTCTTAATATGTGAATCAATGGAAGATAATAAATTTTGGACCGAGTAAAATTGGTCAGACTGAGAGATGTTCAGATAAACAGGTTTTACTGTAATTTGGGATATTGGGTTTGTTTTCCAAATGAATGACTGGTCTCTTATATTTTTAGACACTGTTTTTAGGCACTTGTGCTTACGACTACTTCAAATACCCAGAATAAGCTGAACAGATACTTACATCCAAGGGACGATATATAAGATGGACAGTCTGTGCTCCTGCCATCATGGCTAGCATAGATGCTGTCATCATCTTCATGTACTGGAGCATGCTTACTCCCGCTGGCATCTTGGGGCAATATGCTGACTAGAATATGTTCTTACTCAGCTTTACAGATCAGAGGAGAATGCACCACTAAAACTGATCCCGTAGGTCTAGTTCAACAAAATAATGTTCTGGAACTTCTGAACACAGTCAGTGGAGATAACCATTCAGTTGTTCTGTAGACAGACAAAGTTATCTATTTGGGTTGTTAAATATTACTACACGGAATCACTTAATACAAGTTATTTGTTGATCTGTTATTTGAGTGATTTAAAGGCACTATGCATTTGCTTTAAATTCCTCCTCTGAATGTATTCTTGTTTTCTGATCCTCAATGTTTTTTCTTGCTTGTAGCTCAGCCTGCTTTTTCTTGTAGACAGTGTCTGGAAAAGTAAAAGATAGTTATTTACTGTAACCCTAATTAAAATCTATAATCTCACAATTTTGATTTTTAAAAAATGAAAATGAATAAACACAAAATGAGTTGCGTCAACATTCAGACTCAACATCACAAAATTCAACAAAGCATCAACATTGAAATGTCACCACCTGCCATTTGGTACAAATGCTAAACTCCAACAGCCAAACACTTGTGGTGGTGACATAAAAATTAAAAGCAGTGTTTTAAAAGTAGTCCTGTATGGTTCTGAGAATGCTGGTAAAGAGGTGAGACTTTTGATTGGATTAGGAGTATTATATTGATCTGGTGCTGGGTCATGAAATAAAAGAGGCCTATAGCATCAAATTTCCACATTTGGCCAAAAATGATCATTGACAATATGTCCAGACTATGACTTGAGTCGAAAGCAAGATCAGAGATTCAGGAAGGCTATCTAGCAATCAATGGGATATTAAACCACTTATACTTTTAATTTGTGAACTTAATTCCTACATTCAGTATGCAGAAATTCAAAAACAATTATGATTAAACACTTTGGTGCTTATAGAATAGCATATGCATATAGTAAAGCAAAATGGTTACATCGTTTACATAACTGTTCTCATCAGAAAAAGCATCTCCAGAATCCTTAATACTTGATCGGTACATTTGAATATACTTACAAAAATTAACTTCTCCAACTCTCCAGTTGATCATAGTAAATTCCAAACCAGCTCCAATTACAAAAAACAGAGGTAAAAATCTGTATATTCCAAATGTCTTTTTGCCAGGCCATGCATCTACGATCTTTTGAAATATAGGTATTCTTAATGGCCGACCCATTGATGTATCTAAAGATTATGTCAGCTTTGCTCTGATGGTTTCCTTCTAGATTTTAATTGATATCTGCAAAAATAGGACAACTGCATAAGTTTTAACAACAAACATTTAAATGATAGAACAAGAGAAAACCCATGGATAGAAGCAACATTATATGACTGTAGTACATCTACACTCATTAGAAAATTACTTTCGGTGACATAAATAGAAGAAAATAACTTTGCAGTGAACTTGAAAGAATATTGGAAAATACGTTTAGAGTAAAATTACAAATCTCTTGGAAGTCCATGCAATATGAAAATTAGAATCTATGTCGGCATGGGTGTAGCGCCCGGTACGCTGGGTACGCACAGGCATACCAGATGGTTGCAAATTCGCTCCAAATACAACCAAATTTCAAAATTTTCCTAGGGGAGAACCCCAAGACCCCCATAAATGCTTGTTTTTTTATTCTTGACTCCTGTTCCTGTGGTAGTGGCGTACTACTTGGAAAAATAGCGCTACGCCCATGGTCGGGGAGATGCGTTGAACTTTGACGTATGATGAGGCTCTTCGTCATGGTCCCATAGTCGAAATAGCCCCATGACGAAGTAGCCCCCTCGAAGTTAGACGTATCTCCCCTAATAAGCTTATGTTATTATTTGTTCTATAAGTATGATCAGACTAAGATCTTATAACAAATTTCATCTTTTATATTTAGGCTATCAGATTTTGTCTAACTTTGACTTGTATCAGTCGAAATGAATAGTGCATAAAGGCTACATTTAAAAAACATGCTATTCATTCAACTAACCATTCCTCCTATAAATTAGCGTAGAAATAAGATCGACTTGAAAATATTAAGTAAGAGTAATGGGGGCTGACATTTTGAAAGACGAACAAGATACCACTTATATATAATTCTTAAAGTTGTGACTTTGTCCTTTGTTTGTGTTTAAAAAATACCAAAATATGAAAAGTAATACAAGTAAAGATATAAAAAATAGATATCCTTTCCTTCTTCTTTATTTTGAATTTGTAATCAGTGATAAATATTCTGGTGAAATTAGTTCATGTAAATTATACCATTATTGTCATGCCCTTTAAATCAATCAATTATTTTTCTTAACTAGTCGCTGATTGGCTTGAAGACCAAACTAGGTCAAATTTCAACCAATCACACTCCCTGTACTAAACTTCTTAGCTTGGGTGATTTGCTGAATAGAAGGACAAAGAAGCATATTCCATCATATTTTCTCAAAATACAGGTAATTATAGCTAATTATGTTATAAACTAAACTAATACATTGCTCCTTATGTATAATTGTTGTCAATCCTGCAGTCCTGAGTGAAATGATTGTCAAATTAAACCAGAAATAATAGTGCAAAATCTTTCTTGGTGGAAAAAATGAAAAAATCAAAGCCAGGATTCAAAGTCAAATTTTGTAACTGTCATTTTCAGTACACTATTGAGTAAAACTGAGGGGTGTGTTCTTTAAATGTACATTCAGATGATAGATTATTTTTGTTGAGTTATGTTCTTTATAACTGGTGTTCAAAATAATTGTCAGGCCATCAACATTTTTGGGATGTTCTATGATGGGTGGTGTTGGCGCAGTGAGCACCGGATCTATTTTATTTTATATACTGTTATTAGACTGAAAGTGTGGGAATTCTCTTGTTTGTAACTTGATTTTTATTTGGCCATATTCATTGATTTGGTATATATTTGCAAATTATTGATGTAGATTTCTCGTTACCTTTTGGCCTCACTTGATTTTCAAAACAACTGTCAAAAATTTATTTTGATACTTAAATCATGGTCACTTGCAAATTGTAGAAATAAAGCAGTGATCAAATCTCTTAGCAAACAATTATTCCTTCTAAATAACCAGATTTCCAGTCCTGGAAATCAATGAGGAGAGATGGTACTGACTTTGGATGTTTGTCATGGTGTCCTGGGCATGTGATGTTAAGCTTCTTGTGTACACATGTTTTGATAATGAAATCAATTGTATGGCTTTGTATATTTATGAAACCAAATTAGGTCAAGTATTTTAGAAAAGTGATGTACTGCGTTTACCATTTCACTCTAACTTCTGGAGGACAGGGAGGCAATGTCGTTGAGGTAATTGTCGGAACTACATAGATGATATTGCCTACCTACCCAATTATGTTTTGGAATCATTTTTCTGTGAGAGGCTAACAAAATGTCATATAGATAAACTCCAATACTAGAATATCCCCAACACACCCCTTTCCCAGAAAATACCATGCAGCGACTCTGAGGGTAGTTTTATAGTAATCCGAGTTAGATATTAACATTTAACACATGTAACTCTTGCACGTTTCACGGTTTGACAGCCATCCCTTAAAAAACAGGGCTATATGAATATTTCTTCTCTGCATGAAATTACTTCAAAATTGCGCATTCACCAAGAAGGCAAGAAATAAACTGAAACCATACCCATTCTCATCTCTCATTCTTTGAATTTATAAAAATCAAAGTATGTTACCTGTGTCAAACCATTATGCCATCTTCAAAATGCTATGAGGAAATACTAAGAAGCTTGATGATGTGAGGATATTAAAAGAAATTGGTCCAAGGGATGATTGGGATATCTTGCATGTATGATATTGAACTTAAAATTAAATTCTATGTATGATTTCTGTAGCCCTGTTACTTTGGGGGATGCATGTTCACCAGTCACTAAAATATGCATGTTTTGTTTCTAGACACGGCACCATGGATGATGGGGGTTACTTGTAAGTCTGCCTATACGTTTTTGTGGTTTGCATAGGTTGGGCTCACCTTATCATTGTAACAATGTACATGTATGTTTCTAATGCACTGAATTATCACTTATGAAGGAAAAACCTGAAAAAGTATAAGGTGGCCATAAAGTCTCTACAATTATATTACAAAGTCTGGATAAAGTGTAAAGTGATTTCATGGATACCTTGTATATTTAGGAATTAACATTAACTTCAGCTCCAAGTACAAAATTATCAAGAGGTATCCAGTTGTCCCCTCTAACCCATAGTGCCTCTTTAAGTATTTCAGTTTGAATCTGAATAAACCAAAGGGAGCCAGTTGACCAGATTCAATATATTTTCAAAAGCCATACATATTGGATTACTCCAGTTTAGGTCAGAAAACCTATACTGTGCATGTGTACTAATCACATTCTTTGGGAGCTTTTAACCCAAAATCAACATTTAAAGGGACATTCCTTACTGGCCTAATGCTGTGTTTGGATGGTTTGTAAAACCGTCTCCCTGAAATCAAGCAGATAATACTCGTCTTGTTTTAACCATGCTCATGCCCTCATTTTGCTTGTGTGTCTTTTTCAATCAGCACCACACCGTAATTTTCTAGTGAGAGCCCCAAACACTTTGAATATATGAGTCTGAATTGATCAGTTAGTATACCAGTTTATAGAAAAATAAACATGGATTTCACCTCCAATATCAAGGAGTACGAAATTCGTCACTTGAAACTGACAGTACCTCTTTTAAAGTGTTAAATGAGTTAGAAAATACATGTAAATTAGAATGTAAAACTCAGTGTCTAAAAGATTTTACAAAATGCATATAGGGTGAGCCTTATCCATATGTTTATCTATTGTCTGATGCTTTTTTCAGAATCGGGACAATCCAATATGTTATGTCATGAAACAGCATGACACGGGAAATGAAGAAAATACAGTGAAACCTGCAAACTGAGCAATAATTACTGATGAAAACCATTCATTTTGGAATATATCTCGTACCAGAGAATCACATTTTTACAGAAAATTTTGTGAATTATTAGTCTTTGAAAAATTTCTCCTTATTGGAAAGCAATGGTTTTTTATCAGGCAAAAGTAAAAAGGAGTGTCACACTCAGATTTTTATTAACTTTTTCTGTTACTCAGTTTTAAAGTATTGTTGAGAACCCTGTGGGTGTTTAGTATTGAGCAAGAGAAGGGTGTTTAAGTATTCTCAGATTTTTTTAAGTGTGTGCGAAATTCTGACAAACGGTGAAAATAGGCCAATTTTTATGATTTTTTCATTATCAAGTGTAGGACAAGTTAGTTTTCAGGTTTTATGTGCAAAGCTATTTTCAAAATCTGAAGATTCAGCGCCACTTGAGTCAGTGCTGGGGAGCTCCCTGAATTCTCTGAGACAGGTTTCACTGTATGACATTAATAACACAGATTGTCTCTACCTTCATTGCTTTTAGATTGAAGTCTAGATTTAGAGCTCTAGAAATAACAGTACTGCCGCTTGATGTTTTTATAGCTTCTTGTCTGCTTATTAATAAAATGTCACACTGGCCAAATAATAAAATAAAATCTTTACGTTTTAGAGTATAATTGACATAGAGTTAATGAAACATGGACTATAAAGTTTATTATACAGAAATACAAGAAAATTCCATCTTGTTTGTAAAATCTGTATTCCAAAAGTAATTACAAGTATTCTTCAGACTAGCGAGTTTGAAAGAGAAAATGCAGTGAAACTCGAGGGGGATTGATGTAAACATTTTCAGAGTTAAAGAAATTCAGATGTTTTAACCCCCTCCCCATTTACCCCCCCCCCCCCCCTCCTGCTAATTGAGGAATTGAGTTTGGAGAGAGAACGTGGGGTATACGGGGATTGATGCAAGTCTATTTCAATTATAAAGAGTTGAGGTAGAAACGCATGGCCAATCTGATATATTATGAATAGGTAGACAGATATAGAGAGTTCTTCTGTTGTCATATTTCAGGTGTTACCTAGTTTAGAGTAGATACATGTGTATTCCTTAATTTGATAGAAATGTTGCATAACTACTGTATTTGCTTTGCAGAGTCTGTATTCAGGAGATGTCTTAATGCAAGAAACTAATAACTAAATTCACTTTTTTTACATGTATATTTATTTAAAATACTGTTACGTAAATTTAGGCTAGGTTAAAATTCCAGTGTTTTTCTGCAAAGGTTTTATTATGATCCCCCTCATACCCCTCTGTTAAAAACATTAACAATGTTAATGTTTTAAAGAAACATTGGACACTGAAATTCCACAACTCCAATAGCTGCTATATTTTTATCACACTTTTTCAAAGTGCTTTATAATATTGCAGTCATCTTGTGCTGATGGCTACACTACACTATACTACACTACACTACACACAGGTGTGTCTGTGAGTGTGTGCATCTATGCAGTTGGGGAACCCCATAAAACTTGGTAATTGATATGTAGTTCCGTATTACAGTTCAATGATAAAATACAGTTCTGTTATTTGTCTCTGAGTATCAGGGTACTCACACAACATTCAACACACTCACACAACATAGTCATACAACACACAAACATAACACACTCAAACAACATCATTCTGGTATGCCACAGCCCCTCTTATCTACTGTTTGCGAGAAGTTTGGAATGATAAAGACAAAGGGGGCGCGGCTATTGTGATGAAACAACATAGTCATACAGCACACTTACACAACACACTCATACAATATACTCACATAGCATATTCACATGACAAACTCACATAAATACTAGTATGTTCTAACAATCATATGCAATGCCATAACTTGCCAAGATCAGACCCTCTCATAGCTTCATCAAAGTACCAGAGATTGCTTTTAAATAACATTCTGATTTGAATAAGATAAGACAATTTTATAGTTTAGCAGCCCATCTCAACTGCTGGTGACCATTACACACTGGGTCAGAAATCAATTATTACGTGATATTTTCTTGACCAATAGCAAATAGAAAAAAACATTTTCAATACTGTTTAAATGTTTGTCAATGATGATGTCAGAGGAAATGGTCAATCTGGTTGGTTCGGCAGTTCAGTTCTCTTAAACTTAAAAAGTGTACATGAAGCTATCTTTTAAGAGTCCTCGGAACTCATGGGTTTGGACTGATGTTTGGAGGATGTACTTAAGAAGCCAATTCAAATGAATGCAAAGGATATAACTGAAGGTCATCTCTCACGTCTTTATCGATTAATGATCCATGAATTCAAATAAGGCATTAATTACATGTCCATATTATTCAGCTATTCTGTTCAAAAATCATGTTAGACCATTTATTTTCTGAATTGCTATAGCAAATACCATATACATATATATGCACATATCCTGTATAGTATGAGGACTTGCGGTAGTTTTAGAATATTTTTTCTCATTTTGAATCAAAAAAGTGAATCTGAGACAAATCATGGATCATTCCCATATTAGGAATGCTGTTATCTGAATAGAAAGAATATTTCACATTATATGTC